GTTTAATGCACAGCATAACATGTTGAGCGTGTGAGAAATGTTCTTGTCAGGTGTCAGGAGTAACATATACTGTTTAGAGAGTACATAGTTACTTTTGTTTGTTTGGTCTTAAGTTTACTCTTTTTACTTTGATTGGGAATAAGCAATGAAAAATGTCTGTCCAGAAAATTTTGAGCGTCAAAGTCATCTAATGTTCTTGTCAGTATTGTGTTTTTTTTACATGTGTTGTGCTCTGGCCAGAGTGGATTACTTTTCTGGAACATTTTTTGGTCTGAGTTTTCTCTGTGGTAAAAGCGGATGCCCGGTTGGGGTCTATCTATCTATATATTTGTCTGTCTACTTTTCTATGGATCAAAGATAAAAGGGCTGATTGGCTGTAAAGCTGATACTCCGGCAAAAAGGTCCTACTGTCTATCCTCCGTAAAAGGGGTATACCTTCTTCCCACTTTTACAGTCGAGACTGGGCACACCGACGGGACAGCAGTGCAGAGTTCCAACTCTTCTTCAGAAGCGATCTACCCCTCATAAACAGTCGAACTGGGCACAGACGGGACGTTCCAACTCTTCGTTTCCGAACTCTAGAAGCGATCCTCTTTACATCACTCCTAGAGATCACCTTGTATCAAGAGGATCAGCCTCTAAGAGACGTACTTGCGAACAGTATAGAAGCTCCATAAGCCCTTCATATCAAAGAATCAGAATATGTTGAGAAGAGGTCAGAAGTGTAATGTGAAACAGCTTTTTTAATGTACAATAAAGACTATACAGAAAAAAGGTCAGGAGTACAACGTACAACATACACTACACAGCTAGAGAATGGGTCAAAAGTATAATGTACAGTGTAACACAGACTATAGAAATATAAGAGAGAGAGTTTAATGCACAGCATAGACAATGCAGAGAAAGGGCCAGGAGTAACATATACTGTTTAGAATACATAGTTAGTGTTTGTCGGTCTTAAGTTTTTTTTTACTTTGATTGTGAATAAGCAATGAAAAATATGTCAGTCAGCAAAAACATGTTGAGCGTGTGGCATCTAATGTTCTTGTCAGTATTGTGTCTTTTTTTGCATGTGTTGTGCTCTGGCCAGAGGATTACTTTTCTGGCATACTTTTCTGGCAAAATTTGGTCACTTTGATTTAATTGTAAGTTCAACACTAATGGTTCTTGTCAGTTTATTGTGTTTTTTTTAAGCGGATTGTGCTCTGGCCAGAGGGGTCTACTTTTCTGGCACTTATTTGGTCTGAGTTTACTCTGTGTAAAAGCGGATGCCCGGTGGGGGTCTATCTATATATTTGTCTGTCTAGATGGAAAAGGGCTAAAAGGGCTGATTGGCTGTAAAGCTGCTGATACTCCAGGCAAAAAGGTCCTGCTGTCTATCCTCCGTAAAAGGGTATACCTTCTTCCCCTTTTACAGTCGAGACTGGGCACACACACCGACGGGACAGCAGTGCAGAGTTCCAACTCTTCGTTTTCGAACTCTAAGAAGCGATCTACCTCTTTGCAGATCCCTCTCCTAGGTCACACTGGAGAGGGATCAGCAAAGAGGGATCAGCCTCTAAGAGACGTACTTGCGAACAGTATAGAAGCTCATAAAGCCCTTCATATCAAAGAATCAGAATATGTTGAGAAGAGGTCAGAAGTGTAATGTGAAACAGCTTTTTTAATGTACAATAAAGACTATACAGAAAAAAGGTCAGGAGTAACGTATAAACAAATCAAATAAAGAGGTCAGAAGTGTAATAACAGCTTTTTTAAAAATCAGGAGTATAACAGTATAGGAGTACAACTACACATACACTACACAGAGAATGGGTCAAAAGTATAATGTACAGTGTAACACAGACTATAGAAAGATAAGAGAGAGTTTAATGCACAGCATAGACAATGCAGAGAGAGAAGGGGCAGGGAGTAACATATACTGTTTAGAATACACAGTTAGTGTTTGTCGGTCTTAAGTTTTTTACTTTTGATTGTGAATAAGCAATGAAAAAATATGTCAGTCAGAAAAATGTTGAGCGTGTGTGTCTAATGTTCTTGTCAGTATTGTGTCTTTTTTACATGTGTTGTGCTCTGGCCAGAGTGGATTACTTTTCTGGCATATTATTTTGGTCTGAGTTTACTCTGTGGTAAAAGCGGATGCCCGGTGGGGGTCTATCTATATATATTTGTCTGTCTACTTTTCTGATTGGCTGTAAAATCATATGGCATAAAGGTCCTCTGTCTAAACCTCCGTAAAAAGGGGAGTATTTAAATTTGCTGTTTCCAAGGGCTGAAAAGACTGAACTACAGAATTTGTGGGCTGTAAAGGATTTGATACTCCAGAAGGACCTAGGGCAAAAAGGTCCTGCTGTCTATCCTCCGTAAAAAGGGGTATACCTTCTTCCCCTTTTACAGTCGAGACGGACTGGGCACACCGACGGGACAGCAGTGCAGAGTTCCAACTCTTCGTTTCCGAACTCTAAGAAGCGATTTACCTCTTTACACAGATCCCTCTCCTAGGAGAGGGATCTGCAAAGAGGGATCAGCCTCTAAGAGACGTACTTGCGAACAGTATAGAAGCTCCATAAGCCCTTCATATCAAAGAATCAGAATATGTTGAGAAGAGGTCAGAAGTGTAATGTGAAACAGCTTTTTTAATGTACAATAAAGACTATACAGAAAAAAAGGTCAGGAGTGCAACGTATAACATACACTACACAGAGAATGGGTCAAAAGTATAATGTACAGTGTAACACAGACTATATAGAAATATAAGAGAGGAGTTTAATGCACAGCAAGGGGCCAGAGTAACATATACTGTTTAGAATACACAGTTAGTGTTTCCTGCATGGAGAATTTTGGGCCAGGAGTAACATATACTGTTTAGAATACATAGTTAGTGTTTTGTCGGTCTTAAAGTTTTTTACTTTGATTGTGAATAAGCAATGAAAAATATGTGTGCAGTCAAAAATTTATGTTGAGCGTGTGTCATCTAATGTTCTTGTCAGTATTGTGTGTTTTTTTTACATGTGTTGTGCTCTGGCCAGAGTGGATTACTTTTCTGGCATATTATTTGGTCTGAGTTTACTCTGTGGTAAAAGCGGATGCCCGGTGGGGGTCTATCTATCTATATATTTGTCTGTCTACTTTTCTATGGATCAAAGATAAAAGGAACTGATTGGCTGTAAAGCTGATACTCCAGGCAAAAAGGTCCTGCTGTCTATCCTCCGTAAAGGGGTATACCTTCTTCCCCTTTTACAGTCGAGACTGGGCACACCGACGGGACAGCAGTGCAGAGTTCCAACTCTTCGTTTTCCGAACTCTAAGAAGCGATCTACCTCTTTGCAGATCAAATCTGGTGTCGACCGAGTCGGAAGGGAGGGATCAGCCTCTAAAAGAGACTACTTGCGAACAGTATAGAAGCTCCATAAGCCCTTCATATCAAAGAATCAGAATATGTTGAGAAGAGGTCAGAAGTGTAATGTGAAACAGCTTTTTTAATGTACAATAAAGACTATACAGAAAAAAGGTCAGGAGTGCAACGTACAACATACACTACACAGAGAATGGGTCAAAAGTATAATGTACAGTGTAACACAGACTATAGAAAGATAAGAGAGGAGTTTAATGCACAGCATAGACAATGCAGAGAAGGGGCCAGGAGTAACATATACTGTTTAGAGAGTACACAGTTAGTGTTTGTCGGTCTTAAGTTTTTTACTTTGATTGTGAATAAGCAAGGAAAAATATGTGAGCCAGAAACATGTTGAGCGTGTGGCATCTAATGTTCTTGTCAGTATTGTGTCTTTTTTACATGTGTTGTGCTCTGGCCAGAGTGGATTACTTTTCTGGCATATTTATTTGGTCTGAGTTTACTCTGTGGTAAAAGCGGATGCCCGGTGGGGGTCTATCTATATATATATTTGTCTGTCTACTTTTCTATGGATCAAAGATAAAAGGGCTGATTGGCTGTAAAGCTGATACTCCAGGCAAAAAGGTCCTGCTGTCTATCCTCCGTAAAAGGGTATACCTTCTTCCCACTTTTACAGTCGAGACTGGGCACACCCGACGGGACAGCAGTGCAGAGTTCCAACTCTTCGTTTCCGAACTCTAAGATGCGATTTACCTCTTTACACAGTGATCGACCTAGGAGAGGGATCTGCAAAGAGGGATCAGCCTCTAAGAGACGTACTTGCGAACAGTATAGAAGCTCCATAAGCCCTTCATATCAAAGAATCAATAATGTTGAGAAGAGGTCAGAAGTGTAATGTGAAACAGCTTTTTTTTAATGTACAATAAAGACTATACAGAAAAAAGGTCAGGAGTGCAACGTACACATACACTACACAGAGAATGGGTCAAAAGTATAATGTACAGTGTAACACAGACTATAGAAAGATAAGAGAGGAGTTTAATGCACAGCATAGACAATGCAGAGAAGGGGCCAGGAGTAACATATACTGTTTAGAGTACACAGTTAGTGTTTGTCGGTCTTAAGTTTTTTACTTTGATTGTGAATAAGCAATGAAAAATATGTCAGCCAGAAACATGTTGAGCGTGTGTCGTCTAATGTTCTTGTCAGTATTGTGTCTTTTTTTACATGTGTTGTGCTCTGGCCAGAGTGGATTACTTTTCTGGCATATTATTTGGTCTGAGTTTACTCTGTGGTAAAAGCGGATGCCCGGTGGGGGTCTATCTATCTATATATTTGTCTGTCTACTTTTCTATGGATCAAAGATAAAAGGGCTGATTGGCTGTAAAGCTGATACTCCGGGCAAAAAGGTCCTGCTGTCTATCCTCCGTAAAAGGGTATACCTTCTTCCCCCTTTTACAGTCGAGACTGGGCACACCGACGGGACAGCAGTGCAGAGTTCCAACTCTTCGTTTCCGAACTCTAAGATGCGCGATTTACCTCTTTACACAGTGATCGACCTAGGAGAGGGATCTGCAAAGAGGGATCAGCCTCTAAGAGACGTACTTGCGAACAGTATAGAAGCTCCATAAGCCCTTCATATCAAAGAATCAGAATATGTTGAGAAGAGGTCAGAAGTGTAATGTGAAACATAGCTTTTTAAATGTACAATAAAGACTTTTGGGCAGTCACGGGGCCAAAACCAGAGTGTGGAGCCACAGTGCGGCGGTGGAGGTAGCAGCAATGGGAGGCCATACAGAACCCTATGACAAAAATGGAACCCACCAGCAGTGTGAGGAGATCTGAAAGTGGCACATGGCAGAATGTGGCGATGGAGACAGCAGCAATGGGAGGCCGTACAGGGACCCATGACACACTCTGGACCTGGCAGCAGCATTAGGAGGCGGTACAGGGGCCCATGGCAGATTATGGGCCTGGCAGCAGCAATGGGAGGCCCGTAATCTGCCAGCACCCTATGACAAAATGGAACACACCAGCAGTGTGAGGAGACCTGAAAGTGGCACATGGCAGAGTGTGGCGATGGAGACAGCAGCAATGGGAGGCCGTACAGGGACCCATGAGAGACTCTGGACCTGGCAGCAGCATGAGGAGGTGGTACAGGGGCCCATGGCAGATTACGGGCCTGGCAGCAGCAATGGGAGGCCCGTAATCTGCCAGCACCCTATGACAAAATGGAACCCACCAGTAGTGTGAGGAGACCTGAAAGTGGCACATGTTTGGGGCATGATTCATGGCGGATTTAGTCAGTTGTGTCAGGAACTGGTGGTTTGAAATCCAGACTAATCCACGCCTGATTCATTTTCACAAACGTGAGTCTCTCCACACTTTGGGTGGACAGTCGTGTCCTCCGTGGAGTTACAATACCTCCTGCCGCACTAAACACACGCTCCGATGCCACGCTACTGGCCGGGCATGACAGCCTTTCAAGGGCAAATTCAGCTAGTTGGGGCCAAAGGTCAAGTTTCGTTGCCCAGTAGTCAAGGGGATTGTCTACCTCGGTTGGCAGGGTGCTGTCCAAGTAGGCCCAAGCCTGTTGTTTGAGGTTCCTGCTCCAGGTCCACCTGATGCTGCTGCTGCGGCTGGTT